AAAACATACGACACACACAACACACAACCAAAAACGCACCCGCGGCGCGCTACTGCTGCTGCGTGTAAACAGACCCCCTTTCTTCTCCTTATCCTGGATTAAAAATCCCGGACAACGCCTAATACGTCAACACAACACACATACCATCGCCAACACACAGCAAACCCTAAAGGAGAACCGCCCCACACGGCGGCTGTACCAACGAGAACGGGCGACAGCGGCGACGCCGCAAGACGCCCCAAAAGAGTCTCTCGTCGAGCGCAATGGGCCTCTCGACGCGTAACCCCTACCCGGGACGTTCTCCCCACCCCAACTCGTCGGTGATCGTGATCCCAGCAAAAGGACTAAAAAACTACCGTGATACACCACAACATAAGCCGCGAAGAGATGCGCGCTCCCCCGGTACGCTCTGCACTACAAGCCTGCGAGGCCTCTTCTTCCCCCGTCAAGCGTGGACAAGACACGCGAAAGGCCACGAGCCCCCTCCTTCCTGCCTGTTTCCTCTCTGCCCTTATCCTTATCTCTCTAGTAGTGTAGTAGCTTGTTCCCGGTGGTGGGAGGTCCTCCCGCGCCCTAGCTCTAGCGTAACTACTCTATGTGGGTCGTTCAGCTACTGCAGCAGTAGCACTCCAAAGAGAGCTATTGTAATAGGGATTTAGACACCCAAGGAGGGGACAAGTAGGCAAGCGTGACAAGCGCGAACCTCGCCCCCGGATGATGACCTACGCCATAGAGAGCGCGACATGGTTTTCACAACAAAATCGCAGTCTCTCTACGGCTACATATGGTCTACACCGCACTTGCCGTTGTCAACGACAAGGCAAGGGGAAAACATCAAAACAAAAAACACAAAAGACAGGGGTGAGAGACGGAGACAGATAAACATGAAACGGACCACAACAGCCTACCCCTCCTCCTCCTTCCCTTCCTCGTCCATCAGATCGACAACGCCAATCGCTGAAAGAGATAGATGGTGTACTTGCATACGGCCCCGACTACTCCAATTCCTCATGCCTGACTACCCGAAACGTCGAGTTTTAACTTGACCACCCGTGCTACATGCAGCCGTTGGTTGTGTACGGACGGAGAGAAATCTATCAGCAGCACTTAGATAGCTGCTGTACCCCAACCGAACGCCGACTTAAAATACTCAGACACATGAATTCCGAGCCAGAGGCGGGAGTTCCTCGCAATTGTGTCCAAGACGATTAAGATGGAGATAGCTGTGTTGGACAGGGTAGGAGCACGATCGCGACGACCGGGGGGGGGTACGCGGGTGGGCATCGTCGAGGGGGGGTCAGGCGTGGACAGTAGTGTAGCGTGTGTGTGTCGCGTGCGAGTGATACGTGATAGTCCAAACTAGATTATCACGCGCCAAACCGATGATGTTGCACAGGTGGCATCGCCCGACCGCTGCAGCAGCCATTGGAAGCCTGAATTCTCTCTCTCTCTCTCTCTCTCTCTCTCTCTCTTTCTCTCCCTCCCTCTCCCTCTCTCTCTCTCTCTCCTCTTGTCTCTCCTCTCTCTCCTCTTGTCTCTTTCTCTCTCCTCGTTGACACTCAACCTCAAATCCAAACCTTAACCTTACCTGTCCATCCCGAAGCCTTCCATGCTCTTGAGAAGCACGTCCCCGCCGAAATAACGGGCGTACACCCGGCTCAGCGGCAGACCCATGCCGAATCCAGCCAGAGGCGGCAAGGGATGCTCGACTGCAATACTCCGCGCGAGAAACAGCGACAAAAAACAACATCGAATAGAAACCAAAGCAGGGGGGGGGGGGGGGGGAAGAAAGGAAAGAGGTGGAAACCCAAAAAAAAAAAAAAAAAACCGGCCTTTAGCGCCTGGCAACAAAAGGTGAGGGGGCG